AGCTGGACCTAACTGTTTCTGAAATACATGTTGACAAAGGAGAGGAAGTGGAAAGAAGTGGTGAGTAACTACATGTGTAAAAGCTTAAGACAAAGGATGTTGCTTTTATGGCAAATCTAGGTAATGTGGGGACCCTTATTCTGTTTTTTTTGTGAACAGTGCAGCTCACATTACTATTCCTCAGCAGAGTGAAGGTATACATCTAGCTCTATTATTGATGTATTTTATGTAACATTTGTACATATATATTTTCTAGAAAGCTACCACCCATTGCCATGTCAACAAACTATAATAATCTCTGGGTTAGCTGCAGAGAAGTTTGGTGTAGCAAGTCTGCACACTTGGGCAAAGGACAATAATTGAAGCCACTATTAAGGATTGTCTTGTCATTCACCAACAGGAGATGGAAAAAGTACCTGTTATATTATCCTTCCTCTTTTCGATGATAAGACTGCTATTGTTCTTGCTCCTACTATCAGTTTAATGCTTAACCAGGTTGCAAAACTCACAGAGAAGCAAATTTCAGCTACTTTTCTTGGTTCAGCACAACCTAATGATGTTTACTCTGATGTTAGAAATGGTAAATACCAGTTGGTATATACAACACCAGAAACATTCTATGAAAAATTGAAGAAAGAAGAACCTAGACAGATATTTAAGGTACATATATATGTAGCATTAATTTTTAGTAATATGTCATACATGTACAGTATTCTGTAATATCCCTAAAATATGCTACCATATCCCTATACTTTGATTGGATACATTGCACAATAGCAAAATACAAAGTTATAATTTTCCTGTCAATACTATAGGATATGTCAAGTGAAGAGAGAATTAGTCTGATAGCAATAGATGAAGCACATTTGATTGCAAGCTGGTTTAGGTAAGAAGTCGTATGTTTGATAATTACAGGTTTTATTAAACCTTTGTTATTATTATTATTATTATTATTATTATTGAACTTTACAACACAGAACACAAGGAAGTGAATTAATAATAGTTAGGAGGTAGGGTTCACTGAGTTGAAGGAAAACAGTAAATGATACTGAAGACCATAAGGATAAAAAGATAAATAGTTAATTACAGTATTA